TTGCTCAAAAATCCTTCGATTATTTGTACCGTCTCCCCACAAACGGCGCCAAAATTTGATTACGCCCAAAAATTAACGCGATAATTGTAGTACAATTTTGGGGTGTCGTATTCACAGGGAGATGGAAAATTATTTAAAGGATCAATAGTTTAGGGTTTTTGTCGCGATTTGTGTGAAAATAATTTGTCGATTGGAATAAATTGAAGTAAAAGTTTAATATCAACATATGAAATAGTGAAGCGCCGGAATTCCCTCGATTAGATTGGTTCAATCAATGTCAATTTTTGCATGAAAATACTCAATTAAAGATTTTCATCCCAACACTTTAATTGAAAATTTTAACCTTCAAACATATTCAATTCCACAATAATTCCCCAAACTTAGATTTCTTTCATAATAAAATTCCACAATAATCCATTGAAATCATATCCAAGAGTGATTATATACATCAAGAATATAATGGTAAAAAATCACACCAATAGGGGATTTAAAATTGAAATTCAATAAGTACTTCAATTATTTGATAGAAAAAACATCATTGAATCTATGAAAATTTACAAATTAAACCAATCTCAAAACATGTTCATAAGAATAAGAAATTTAAATCTAAAATTGTTTAACAATGAAAGAACACATTTAAGCAAGAAAAGACATGAAAATTCTCAAATCTAACCGAGTTCCTTCGTGGCTTCACCAATAAGTTTAGTTCTCTATGGATTTCTTGAGCCAAAAACCAAAGAAAAGTGAGAGGAGATGAAGAATAGCCATGTTCTCGCCAGTCTAGGGCTTAAAATCGTGTGCTAAGTCGTTTCGAAAAGAGGTTGAACTGAATAAGGAAACTAAATTTTTGGCTAGAATATTCTGTGCGACTATTTTCAGTATTTTGGCCATAACTTTCTCTCCCGATGTCCAATTAAGGAAATTCAAAATGCGTTGGAAAGCTAACACAAAGGAATACAATTTTTCTATAAATAGCTTTTTCCAAATTCTGATGTTTACTGGGTCAAACGTGGACTTCAATCTTCGGATGAAAATTTGAAAAATCTCTATGCAGTCGGAATTTGATTTGTGAAAATATTATGGTCATATTTAACTTTTTTTCATTTCTAATTGCACCCAATGGACTTTTAGCTTTCTCAAATCATCATTCCATCGCCCGTCTCATCTCTAGATTATTTCCAACTTGGTCCCTGAACTTTTACTTTCTTTCATTTTTGATTCTTTCTCATTCTTTTCTTCTAAATTTCACATTTTCTACCAAAATGCAACCTGAATCAAAGTATAAGTATAATGAGTACATTTTGATATCAAATAATCACACGAATGTAATAATTAAGATGGGAAAATATTGTATTTTACATTCTTATCAATGACATAAAAAGAGTTACCCACTTATCCATACATTAATCCATATATTAGTAATAATATATTAGTAGTATGTGCATGTGTGAAGAAGACTACCTCAATATCCTTCAACACCAGATGTTGATACCTTCCATTGTCTTGTTTTTAAGGTTTTGGTGATTGTTTCTCTACTACAATAAGTATGGCTTTCCACTTCTGAGTGTTCGAGATAATTTCTGGTATTAGTTGGTATTCTTCCATTTTCAGACTCAAACAAAGATTTTGAAGTAAAAGACTTATGGTGTGTGTGTGTGTGTGTGTGTGTGTGTGTGTGTATATATATATATATATATATATATATATATTTCAAATGCAGCTCCAATTATCAAAACCAAAAATGACATGGTTCAATTTATAGCGATAAAGTTTGAAAAGAAAGCAAGTAAGATCAAATCAACCTTACAGCTATGGGTATTGCCAAGTAAACTTCTATTAACTATGCAAGCAAATAAATTTTTTAAACTTTTTGAGTACAGATACAGATAGTTGAGTATGGTGGAATCAACCAATAACCAGGGTATGATTGGTGCAATCAAACAATAATAGAATGGATATGGCAAGCAATCAGAATGACATGGTGAATTCAAGCAACAGTTAGAATGGGTACGGTGAAGTCAAGCAATAATCGGAATGGGTATGGTGAAATCAAGCAGTATTTCAGAAGCAATATTCAAAATAGGTGTGGTGAAACTAGGCAATAATCAAAATTAAATGAGATGTTAAATAACTTCACGCAA